CACCCTGGCACAGCAGCAAAGGGGTGGACACGCCAAGCCATTTGCTCCCTTGTCTGGCCAGTCAGAAAGACTGCAGGCTTGACATTTCACTTTCATTGGCGGAGGAGCCGTTGCTAAGCAACTCCTTACCTTGGTAAGAATTCTGTACATCTCAGTACTTCCCTTTTCTCTTTCTCAACAACTATCTGTCTCTTTCTCCTCCCCCCTTCTCTCTGTTTTCTATTCCTTTCTCCCTCTCTCCTTTATACATGCACACACTTCGTGTATTGTTTAGAGATTCCACAGATTTTGCTTTTCATAACTGCGAGTAATTTCTTATGCAAGTAATTTCTGTTGATGTGTTCTACATCTCATTATATATAATAATGAACAAATGCTTCATGCCAATAGTTAGCCAACAAACATTATATTGAGCAAAGTGCTAGGAACCATGATGACTGTTTATAGCAGGGGTAGCTAACCTTCCGACAGACATTGTTGCATGATGCTGTAGTCTACAAATGTGTTGAATCCCATTCACAGTTAGTCCAGGATGCATGTGGCCTGTGCTGGCTGGACAAGCAAAAGGGTGACTGACTACTGGTCACCAGGAATTTAAGAAGCATCAGCAAAGAGGACCTGTGTGTAGGCTGAATTATGAGATGATATGAGGGGACCTAAGGATGGCATTGGGGTAGCTGGGGTGACAGAGGATCACTTTGGGCTATTTATGAGCCAGTCATTTAGAAAATCCAACACTAAAAACCCTGCTGTGCCTGTACCAAAATGCTTAATAGTTGGAATCCTCATGTGAGTGTTCACTGCTCGCTTGGATTGGACTAATTCGCTTTTCAGTGCTAGATACTGAACCCAAGGCCTTATGCATTGCAGGCAAGTGCTACCACTGAGCCACACTTCCCACAGCTCTTCCATCCTTCCTAAACTAGTCTTCTGTCAACTCACATACAGCCCCTTCCTTACCCTCCCTACAGAGTAGTGAGTCTTCCAGCTGCTGGGTCACGAGTCTCAGGCATTCTCTCTGGTTCTCTGAGGCAGGCATGGTTGTCTCACTCCATACAGTTTCACAGAGGAGTCAGCAGGACATGGGCTGTAAGGAGAGGAAGACCCAGGAGCAGGCATACATGGAGGACACAGCAAGGAGGGCGCCTGCAAACCTTAACACCACAGCAGCATACAGGTGTTGGGCTTTCAGCATGCAGAGCTCTGATGAAGTAAATTTTGGTTGTTTAAGAAAATGAAAGTCTACATGGCTGAGAAAGTGGAGTCAGGGGTTAACCTAAGGCATTTTTCCATGTCAGAGCTTGTGTCTCCTCCTCTATAGGCTTGTTCTTAAAGCTACAGTGCTACAACACACTTCAAAAAGTGATGGTGTTTTTTCTGCATCATACATATTTTTGTCACAGTCTGGGCTCCTGATGATATTCAGCATTTCAAACTGTACCTACCAGACAGCTTGAAGGCCTAACAAAGTCCAGCTGGTGATAACAGTCAGGGGTTAACCTTGGACCATTTCACACTACCATTGTCTGTCCTTTCTTCTCAGTGCTTGAAGGCTATGTTCTGGGCACCATCAGAGAACAGAGCTAGCTGGAAGGATCGTAGAGGCTACCAAACTCCTTGCTGGGAGAATGAGGCCCACGAAAAGAAAACACTTTTTCTTGGTCTATTGTCAGGAAAGATGAGGACCTCCCAAGGAATTTCCAACACACACACACACCTGCTGATTGAAGAAAGAAAATGAATGCTGTAGAATAGTCCATGGGCATTTTTGAGGTTTCTAGGCAGTTGGCATATTACAAATGATGTAAGTTCAAGATGCAGGGTCAGGGAGCCAGCAAGGTAGACAGGATGCAGAGGCAATTGTCCATCCCCACTGCTATAAGTACTTCAGTCTGGCTAATTCATAAATAATGACTTTTTTACTTATAATTCCCAAGGCTTCAAAGTCTAAGATCAAAGCCCTGACAGGCTCAGTGTCTAGTGAAGGCTGGCTTTCCACTCTGATCATGCACCCGCTGTGAATTCTGATCCTCTATGAAGGAAGAAGTGGAAAAGAGACAAATGCTCTTTCCTCACATGCACATGAGATCTGGAAGGGCTCGTAGCGTTCTGAAGCTTCTTTCAGAAGGGCATCGATCCCTTCACGAGGGTGCATCCGAGGCGCTCTTCACCTCCTCAAACCACGGATTTGAGTCCCGAAACGAGTTTTGGAGGGACATAAACATTCAACCCATAGAAGAGCCCAATATCCTTGCTAAAAGCAAAACTACCTTTGCTAAGAACTTTTGCTAAGGACAGAGTTTCAAAAAACATTTGTGCAAGATGCATTTGTCTCTCTGAACTTGATTTCAGTTTTGAAAATCTGGTCAAAAATTGTCTTATCTTCTGTATTTACTGACACATCAAAAGTCAGCCACATTAACATTTTTAAAGTAAAAATTGTATTTATTTATTTGCTAGTGTGAGAGTATGTGTGTGTGTTTATCTTTTGCATATCTGTGGCATGGCATATGTGGGAGATTAGAGGATGACCACAGGAGTTAGTTCTCTCCTAGTATGTGAGTCCTGGACAAGATCCACAGGTCATCAGATTTGGCAGCAAGTAATGTTACCCATTAAGCCATCCTGCTGGCCCTGTACAATTGATAACTGGGTATATGCACTATTTAATTCTGTTTCAACAAAGAACCCTTCCCACCACTGCACTTCATAGGCAGATAGCCTTCATTTTTACTAGCAGCAGTAACAATATGCTTCGATTTTCAAATTGCTTGCACGTTACCATCAGTTTATCTCTGAAATACCTAATACATTATCTAGGATCTATTTCTGTGTTTCTGTGCAGGCCAGTCCTTCCCTCCCCTCCCTTGTTCTCCCCTCTCCCTCCCTGCCTCCCTCCCCTTCCCTCTCTCCATTCTTCGTTTTTTGAGACAGGATTTCTTTGTGTAGCTCTGAATATCCTGGAACTTGCTTTGTACACACCAGGTTAGCCTGGAACTCAAAAAGCTGACCACTTCTGCCCCTCGAGTGCTAGGATTAAAGGTTTGCACCACCACATCTGGTTTTCTTTTTTCTCGTTTTGGAGAGAAGTCGGTGTTTATTAAAAATCATTTGATGCTGATTTTTACAGAGAGAGAATATACTTTGTATTGGGCATATTGTTCCTTGGCTCATTTCCATGACAATGAATCTGAGAGAAAGTAGCTTGAGGAGAAGGATTTATTTTGGCTCACCGTTCAGGGGGTATAGTCCTTGGTGGCGGGGGAGGTGTGACAGCAGGACTAGCCTCTGTCTGTGGTGTGGGGCTGTTTGCTGACATCTAAGCAGATCAAGAAGCCAGTACCCATCTGCCATTGTCCCTTGGCCCCTTTTATTCAGTTCATAACCCCCATCCATGGGGTTATGATGCCTACATTTAGGGGGGGTGCTTCCTCCTCAGTTAAACCTATCTGAAAACAGACCAGCTCAGGTGTGTCTCCTAGGTGATTCTAAATCCAGTCAGGTGCACAATGGAGATTAGCCATTACATTTGGTATTTCTCTAAAATCAATTTATTGCTTAAAAAGAAGTTTGAATAGTTCCCTTCAGAATGACAGTTTTAGACAAAAGTAGGATGTTGGGTCCAGGTGGGATGAGTTTGGGGTCCTGAGATGGTTTTCTGTATGAAACAATTGTTCCTGCTTTAGTTTGTTGCATTTACTTATTAATTTATTTGTGTATGTGCGTGTCTAGATGCATGAACACTCATGCCACAGCGAATGTATGGGAGTCAGAGGACGGTTTGTGGGAGCCGGTTCTCTCCTTCCTCTATGTGGGTTCCAGGGTTTGAACTCCAGTCTCTAGACCTGGATGTTGGTACCTTTACCCACTGAGCCATCTTGCTAGCCCTGGAGTAACTCTTTTCCTCAGGTAGACCTTAACTAACGTAGCAGAAGGGCCAAGAGAAACTCCTGGCAGGCATTTAAGATCAATTCCACAGTTAATTTCTGACACTCCCTGTTCGGCCCCAGAGTTTTAAGGGAGAAGTTGTTCCCTGCCTCTCTTAGCACGTATTGCTCCCACAGAGTGTGATCACAGGTGTTTGAAATTGGGCAGCTTCTCCTATAGGCCATACTCACTAACCACTCAGTTTCCTTTTTCTGTCCCTGTGTACAACAAGGTGCCATGACTGATCTAAGGGCAGGATTTTGCATACTTCTTGGCATCTGGTCTTTCAGATTAGCTGTTGGGGGACAGGGCTGCCCTTGCTATGTTTTCTAGACTGTTTTGCAGAGACTGGGGCTTATAATCCCACTGGAGAGAATGTTCCGTGGTGGGCTTTCAAGATGACGGGAGGACACCCACCCATCTCTCTCGTCTTGTGTACTGGGCACATGGGCCCAACTGAGCTGCTGGTCACTGCTCCTGTGCTCTCAGAACCTCTTCCACAGGCACTAGTGGTGTAGCACCCTGTCCCTGGAGGAGGAAGTGCTGTCTACAAGCCTGTGTGCACTTACTTCCTGTGCTTCCTGGGCTCCCGTACCTGCAAAGCCAGTTCAGACATTCCAGTTTGCCTGTGGTGAGTGGATGTTGTCCCGCCTCGGTTCTCACGGACCGTATGAAGCTGAGGTAGGGAATCTTGGTAAAACTTGGGCACCTGTTTGCTCTGTTCCTCACACGGGCATTGACTTGCTCTTCCTGACTGACTGGCCCAGGACACAGTCACAGAGGCCTGGGGACTTGTGAGTCGTGCCATTGTTTACTTGCTGTGCCTCTCACTCAGGCCACAGTGAATGCAGAGAGAAACTCAGAGAACTAAGGCATCCATGACTCCCTCTTCTAGGCCAAGCCCTCTCCTGTCCCTGCACTTGGATTGTCTGAGTAACTAGCATTTGTAGGAGTGTCCAAATAGAGGGGAAGGACCCAGGAAATGACATCAGGGGTAAGCTAGGCCTCTGTCTCCACAGGAACCCTGTCTTTGCTTCCCTAATCTCTCATGACCTATGCTTTTCCTTTCACAGGCTCCTCTGCCCACACTGGCTCCACATCCATGAGCCCATCAGCAGTCTTGCCCACAGGGAAGCCAATGGACAGCCACCCCAGCTACACGGACACCCCAGTGAGTGCCCCACGGACACTCGGTGCTGTGGGAACCCCCCTCAATGCTCTCGGTTCTCCCTACCGAGTCATCACTTCTGCCATGGGTCCACCCTCAGGAGCACTGGCAGCCCCTCCAGGCATCAACTTGGTGGCCCCACCCAGCTCTCAAGTAAGTGTTATTTCTCTCCAAGGTCAATTTAGTGATCTTCAAGGTCTGAGGCTGCTCCTAGGGTAGCCCGCAGACCAGACTAAGAGCTTGAACTGGAGCCATACTCAGGGGCTTACTGTGGGCTTTCTGAAGCGATTGGATTACCTCTATAGACTGACTGTTTTCCTTCAGGACCTCGCTGCTTTTGCCTTCAGTCTGAAAAGTCCTGGGGACCTAACAACGACTTGTGGTCCAAGAGACTGTGGCCACAAGGGCACTTCTCTGGTGGGGTTAATGGGTGTGATTTCAACATCTCTCTGTGGTATTTGTAGACCCCTTTCATTTTTCATATTTAAAAATGAGTATCTAGGGCAGTGGTTCTCAACCTGTGGGTTGCGACCCCTTTTGGGGCCTCATATCAGATATCCTGCATATTAGATATTTACATTATGATTCATAGCAGTAGCAATGAAAATAATTTTATGGTTGGGGGTGAGGAACTGTAGTAAGGGTCACAGCATTAGGAAGGTTGAGAACCACTAATCTAGGTGGTTGGAAAAATGGCTCCACCAGTGTAGTGCTTACCATACGAGCATGAGGAACTAAGTTCAGATCCCCAACCCCTACAAAAAGCAGGGCATGGCATGTGCCTGTAACCCTGGTGCAGAGAAGAGAAACAGGAGAATCCACAAGGGCTTCCTGGCCACTCATGTCATCCTCTTATCTCAAGACATATGTGTTTATAACATGCATACTTATGTACACACAGAGGAATGAGTGTCTAGGCAACGAGATACCATATGCTTTTGTTAAAGGGAATACAGAAATGATCAGGGAAAGTCTTTGCTAACCATTTTCAACTGAGAGGGGAAATAGGCAGGCCCAGCACATAGACAAATCCAGAGCTAGGTGTACATATATCCACATTGTGTCTGAGACTAAGGGGAATCAAGGAGGAAGCATGACCTGAATTCTGAGTGTCTCCTGACACCGTGGAGAAAAGGTGTGTGCACAGCAGACCTGTAGCACTGTTCTGTGGAACCTGCAGGATGGCCAGATGGCTTTGCCTTTCTTGTAGGATTGGTAGTTTTCTCCTCTTGGAGTAATAATGCTATATAAAAATATAATCCCCAGGCTGGAGTGCTAAGTGATTAAGAACACTTACTGCTCTTGTAAGGACGTGGGTTTGGTTCCTAGTGCCCTTATGGTTGCTCACAATTGCCTGTAACTCCCATTTTGGAGGATTCAGTGCCCTCTTATGGCCTCTGCAGACACTTCAAAGATAGAAGTACAAATATACATGCAGGCAAAACACACATACACATAAAATAAAGCTTAATAGAATTATTTAAAGAAAAACAATCCTTAAGTCTTCCAAGCTTAGAAAAACAAGTATTTACCTTCCTCTTGAAGATGCCCGTACTTCATAAGGACCAGAGTATGTATGTGTGCATGCACATGTGTGCTCATGCCTGTGGGTGGGCCAGTGTAGAGACCAGAAGTCAGCTTTGTGTGTCTTCCTCAATCTTCTCCCAGCCTTCTCTTTTGAGACAGGGTCTTCCACTGAGCCTGTAGTGCAATCCCGGAGCTAGACTTGCTGGCCAGTCAGTTCCTAGAATCAGTCCACCTCCATCCCTAGCACTGGGAATTCGGATACACAGCACCACATCTGGCTTTCATGAGTGTCGGGGATCCAAAATCATGCTTACACAGTGGTTCTTATCCACTGAGCATTCTCTCTAGCCCTGGGCTGTATGTGTGTAATAGTTTCCTGCCTTTGGTCTTCAGCTGAAGCATTAGCTCTTTCTGGGCCTTTGTCTTACTGCTCTTCAGACTGTAGCATCATCATTCCTGGAGTTCGTGTGTCGACTTACTATGCAGGTCCTGGCACTGGTCAGTCTTCAAAATTATGTGAGAGAATATCTTTATATCCCTTTACTCTGACACCCAAGAAATCATGTACAGGATGTGCTTTGCTACATCATACAGTGTAACCATAGCATGTTGTGTGAACACACATGCAAGAGCAAGACACCAGGGGAGCAGAGAAGGGACCTGTGTATCACCCAATCATGGGTGCTAGGGCCTCAGAGGCCTTGGGTGGAAGTTGCAATGAGGAATATGTGTGCCTTATATTTCCTGCCTGTAAGAATGAGAGTGCTTTGTTTACTAAGTTTCTTTTCTACCAACATGTTCAAGGGAGGAGAGTCAAAGCCTGGTAGCTGGAAAGACACACTGTGGTGTAAGGGTGAAAGTTGGGTTTTGCAAAGGGTGTTGCCATTCATTTAAAAAAATGGGTCATAGTGGTTCATATCTGTAACTCTAATGCTTGGCACTCTGAAGCAGAGAGATCCCTACAAGTTCAAGGCCAACCTGAGAAGCTATAAAATGAGTTCAAGGCTAGCCTGAGCTACACAAGAACACAGGACTGGAAGATAGCACAGTTGGTAAAGTACCTGCTGCACAAGGATGAGGACCTGGGTTCGATCCCCAGAACCCACATATAAAGTTGCATGTGGTGGTTGTGCTTGTAATCCCAACACTGCAGAAGTAAAGACAGTGGAATTCCTGGGTCTCCAGGCCCCAGTGAGATAACCTGTCTGAAAACACATGGTAGGTAGCTACTGAGGGATGCTATCCGAGGTTGACTTCTGTTTTACACACACACACACACACACACACACACACACACACACACACACACACACACACCTAGTAAGTTCATGAATAAATGCGTACATGAGTAAAAACTGTGAAGACTTACAATGCCTGAGTGTTATCTGACTCCACCTTTGTTTGGAGGTATGGCAGCGCTATAAATGTGGCTGGACATTCAAAACAGACAAAAACCTAAGGAATAAACAAGATAGTTTAGAATAACAACCATTGTATCTGTGAAGGCATATAAACCAGGGTAAGTCCGGAGAGTGGCCAGACCTCTGGATAGGAAGCAAGCAAACACTGTCTCTTCGAGGCTGCTTTTAGTAATCACAATGGAGACATCTGACTAAGCCAAACCTGGCCAATAAATTCATCTTCAGAGTCGTGTGTCAAGGCCGCTATTCCTGGACCATATGCCTGTACAGAGGGATCGGGGTTGAAAGGTCAGCTGAAAGCTGCGGGCCTGGCCAACGGGGCTGTGTGCAGAGGCTGAGCCAAGTTTGGCTTTGGTAGCTATATTAAGCTTGCCAAGTGCTGGTGAAGCAGCCTCAGACAGCGAGCTGTGCTCTGGGCTTGGGATCCGGAACCAGCAGCAGAACTTTGCCCAGCTAACCAGGTGACACAAGGCAAAAGGTCTTGGTGTTAGCCACGGAGACTTAGACTCTGAGGCCTTGGGCAGGGATTGTTCCTACATCCTGTCTTCTCTGCTCAGCACTGGGTCTGTGGGAGCTCGCCACTGAAGCATGCTCTTTCTGTGACCTGTAAGTACAATTCGGGAGTTTTGGGGGAAGGAAGTGCTCGGTGCGGCAAAGCAGACGGGGTCTCCCACCCTGCCCTGTTATTATTCTCTTAGAAGTCCTCTGAGTGCACCTTGGGTTTTCGATCTTGAGGACCAAGGAGAACTGAGCTGGCCCAGATTGGAAAGGACCGTGTGACCTTTCACAAACCACTTTAGCTCATTTCTGTTTGACTTTCATTTTCTCTACTGTGGGGCACAAATGCTTGCCCCGATTTTCCCAAAGGGATTTTAATGAATGTCAAAGGAGATATGGATTTGAAAAATGCTTCTTGAGTTCTGTAATGCCCTGTGGCAGCCAGAGGATATTATTATTACTGTTATTATTATTATTCCTACATGGTATATATACTGTACAAACTGATCCTTGATTTAGGTACATGGTGTTGCTGAAAGTTTCTGGAGAAGTTTGTTTCAACCAGTATTCACAGAGCCATGCCCAATTCCAGGTACTAGAGGTTGTTTATATATACATACACATAAACATACATGGCTGAATCACACATATGGCATATATGATGTAATGAATTATATATACACATGCACATACATGAACCACATACACATAAATGTTACATATGAATTACATATATGTATATCTATATGATTCAGTCCCTTTTGGGAACATCTTAGTAGAGTGAGCAATTTTCAGATACCAGAGCTATACCCAAGAGTGCACCTGAACACTTTTCATGTAGTTATTTAGGCTACAGATTTCATTGTGTGTGTGTTCACGTGCATACTCGTGTGTGTGCCAAGTGCTGTATATTTTCCAGTATAACTCTGTTGTATAGATTCTGGAAAAGTTCTAAATAATATATATTTGGTGTCTTCCTCCTCACTCCCCTACCGACACTTGCTGCCTGATCTGGATACTATCCTCACAGATTTTTTTTGTTTTGTTTTGGTTTTTTGCTTGGTAGTTTATTGACAATTGAGTTCTTACCCTCTCAAATGTTTGCATTTTTATAGAAAATATTTTCATAAAACTGCAAATATTATTATTGGGATAGATTTAAAGATTATCCAATCTGATGATAAAGAGAAATTGAACTATAAAATCTTCAGTCAAAATTATATTTGGAAGTCTAATATTCATGTCAATTAAAAAAAAGACTTGGTTAGCTGGGCATAGTGGTGCTTGCCTGTAATACCAGGGCTTGGGAGGCAGAGGTAAGAGGATTGATTCAGAGCTAGCCTGGGGTACAGAGTGAGACTTGTACACATCAGATTTGGTTGAAGAATGTTCAGAAGATAAGTAGCCTCGATTATTTCGTGTCTGGGACACACAGCCATCATTTGAAAAGCACTGATCTGGTCCAGATGTGAGGATAACAAATTGTGCTGAGTGATAGGACCTGGTCAAGATCTACAGCGAGGAAGAGTAAGTCCAGAAGAGAATCCAGGTGGTGGCCAGGCCTTACAAGGTTAGAGATGGGGTCTGCACCCTGGAGTAGGAACAGAGCCCCAAGTCTGGGTGGAGTAACTGAGGCTGAAGGCCGCTGGGAAATGGAGCCGGTGTTCTGAAATGGCTCCAGAGGTATTCAGGAAGCGCCAACCACTGGCCGAATCTGCCCTGAACAGATGAGCCGGTGTGCTCCTGTCCCATTCTGAGGATGCAACCAGCCTGCATGCAGTGGCAGGTCAGACCGCCCGCTGAATTTCAGCTCTAAAGTGCCTGTTTCAGCAGAGCTGCCTCTAATGGAATGAGACAGCTAAGGTTCAGGGACTTTGGGGCCAGGCAGCTAATAGGTCTGTTTTGACAACAGCTGCCTTCCATTCCCTGCACCATTGTCTCATCCCACACAAAGGCCAAGCCGGTCAGACAGGTGGATGGAGGAGAGAGCATCGACTCACTTGTCCTGACCAATTTGTCCCACGACCACTGGAATTCATGAAGAAGAGAAGTGGGAGGGGCTGCTGACTCAGGTGGGCAGAGAATGTATATAACTGCTTTTCTCCCTCATGGGTCAAGGAGGTAGGGCAAGGGCAAGGGCAGGTGAGGACTCCTACCAGGCTGGCCTCAAGCTCACAGAGATCCCCCTGCCTCTGCCTCTCAAGTACTGGGATTAAAGGTGTGCGCCACCACTGACTGCCCAGTGCCAGTGATTTATTTTTTTACCTGTAAAGGTGTATCAGTGTCATCAATGACTTGATAGAAGTCCTCACTGCATGATCAGTCCTCAGACCCATCATGTGAGGACCTCCAGGCACCAGCCATGGGCATCATTTTCTCTCCAAGTTCCCAGGTGCAGAACTTGTCTATGCTACACAGATGCAGGATGAGATACTGGGTGTGGGCTCCAGATAGCCTGCCTTAACCTCGAATGAAAGAGGAAAGGAATTCTTCCATCACACATTTTCATCCATTATACAAATTAATAAAATATTTACAGCCTTTAACCCAGAGGCTCTGTCTGTTTCCCATGCTCAATAAATATTTGCTTAGTGAACTGAAAGCCTAGTGTTTTTTAAAAAATTTACTTATTATATATACAGTGTTCTGTCTGCATGTATCCCTGCAGGACAGAAGAGGGCACCAGATCTCATTACAGATGGTTGTGAGCCACCATGTGGTTGCTGGGAATTGAACTCAGGACCTCTGGAAGAACAGCTAGTGTTCTTAATCATTGAACCATCTCTCTAGCCCTAGGCCAGTGATTTTAAAAGGAACCTAACTTGATGCTATTGTAGGTTATGTTTTATTGGTCTTTATTCCTATACCAAAGTCCCAGAACAGAGGGAAATCCTACTTCTGGTTCAGTTTGGAGTTGCAGCTACATGGCTTGACAACATAATTAAAATTTGTGAAGATCACAGGAAGTCTGTGGACCCTGTGTTGGCCCTCAGATATTTTTCTCATGTTTCCAGCTGATACACTTGTACAGACTTAACTACCTTCCTTTCTCTCAAGTTTCAAGTGTGTTCTTTGTGTGCATGCGTGCATGTCTGTGTGTGTGTGTGTCTGTGTGTGTGTAAGTGTGTGTGTGAGTGTGTCTGAGTATGTGTGTCTGTCTGTGTGTGTGAGAGTGTGTGTGCATGTCTGTGTGTGTCTGTCTGTCTGTGTGTGTATGTGTGTATATGTGTGTGTGAGCATGTGTGTGTGAGTGTATGAGCATGTGTGTGTGTGAGTGTGTGTGTGTGTGTGTGTGTGTGTGTGTGTGTGTGAGCTTGTCTATGGTGACCAGGGGACAACTTCAGTTGTTCTTCAGGTGTTTTCCACTTCTGTCTGTCTTTGCTTTCTTCTTTCCTTCTCCTCCCCGCCTTCTCTCTCCTTCCCACTCCTCCTCAGCCTCCTCCCCCTTCTTTTGATGCTGGTCTTTCATTGGCTTGGAACCTGCTGCTTTGCCTAGGCTGGCCATCCAGAGGGTCTCAGGAATCTACTTGTCTCCACTCCCCAAACACTGGGATTCTGAGCATATGCCAGCACATTTTGACTATCTATCTATCTATCATCTATCTATCTATCATCTATCTATCTACCTATCTATCTATCTATCTATCTATATCCTTTTATAGATTTTACTCAGGCACTCATGCTTGCACAGGAAAGTACTTCACTGCCTGAGCCTTCTCTCCAGCCCCTCTTATGCGGGTTCTTAATAGTGCATATGCTGATTCCTCAAGGAGACCAAACATTTTTGAGAACCAAGAGACAGAATGTCTAGGTTTTATGTCTTCCTCTGCCCAGCCAAGAACACCCACAAACTGTTTCTGACTGGATGACTGCATCAGAGTTATTCAACCTGTTTTCTCTCATGACTACAAACACTGAGCTTCAGCTTCTTGGACACTTTACGGGCACCAGGATAAGTGGAGAGGAGATGTTCACTTTTGACAAGGGATGTGGACCAGGAAAGTCAAGCTGACCTACTCAGACATCATTATATACCATCTCCATGCCATTGGGGGGTAGGGGTAGGGTCTTACCATTGGGGGGTAGGGGTAGGGTCTTTCCATTGGGGGGTAGGGGTAGGGTCTTACCAGGGGCATTGAAGGGACAAAACATTGGGGCTAGAATCATCAGTGAGCTCATAGAAGTGAGCCATGTACCTGCCCTTCTCTTCCATTTTTTTCATGAACCCCCAAATATGCACTTTTATTTGCCTCTGTGTCTCAGTCCTGGGGAATGTCCAGTGATTGACTAATGAATTGTTTTTCATTTTGGGGTGTGGGGAGAAGGCTTGGCTTTTAGTATCTACACGTCTTGCCCAAGGGCCATAGCTCCTTCAGGTGCACTGCTGCATCTGCAGTCAGTAGCTGATAAAAAATTTAAAGTCACACAGCTGACATCATCTTATGTGTGCAGTACAGTTTAGCTCAAGTAAAACCACATGAGTAAAAGAAAGAAACACAAACAGCTTAATAGAGGTGTGTTGTGTGCTCTGGTTATGTTTTAGCTTCTAGAAATGATTTCTTTTGTCTCATGCACTTGTCCCATAACTTTACCTTCCTGTCACAGATGAGCAATTAGGAAACTCTATACTTGGACGTTACTACTTCATGAAATGGAGCTAATTACATGCTCCTTGCAAGAGGCCTGGGAGATTGGGCTAATCCTATGTCTTATTCTTTGTCTTTGTTCGCATCTCTTGCAGCTAAATGTGGTCAACAGTGTCAGCAGCTCTGAGGACATCAAGCCCTTACCAGGTCTGCCTGGGATTGGAAACATGAACTACCCATCTACCAGCCCCGGGTCTCTGGTGAAACACATCTGTGCCATCTGTGGGGACAGATCCTCAGGTATGGTTCCCCTGAGATAGAGGTCCAGGGAAGGGTTCCCTCTATGTGTGTACTGCACCCGCTGAAATGAAAAGACCCTTTAGAGTGGTTCAGCATGGGGCCTAGCCTGTAGATTTCATTCATGGGGCCCAAAGCCTGCAGGTTTCTATCTTGAAGGATTAGCTTCAGTGGAAATGTTTCAGAGGCTTGCCTCTGGAGTAACACAATTGCATACATGTCTGGGATTGAGACATCAAAGTGACGATCAAATATCCCATGCTAGATTTTCTTTAATTTTTTAAAAAATTATTTCTTATAATCATAAAATGTCCCAAATATATGATTATAAAACCAATTTAAAATGGAAGAATCATAAAAGTACAAATAGAAAGTAAAGATTTTTCCATAATATCCCCATGAAAGAGAAACTCTTTAATATTTGAGCATGTTTCATTTTATCCTTTCACAAAATGCTAGATATTTTTTAAAGTGTGCCTTTATGGGCATGAATGTGTTTCCATTCGCTTGTCCGCTTCCATCTTACCAGAATTGCTTTTTCCCCCCTTCCTCTCCATTCTTTCTGCTCTGGCTTCTTCCTCCATAGTTTTTACCACATTTGAGTCTGAGAGTGAGAGCGACAAGTGTGTGGGTGCCAGCGTGTAACACCAGCACTCAGTGGTGAGGCAGGGGAATCGTGAGTTTGAAGTGAGCCTGGGTTACACAGTGAGACCCTCTGTCCCCACTAATTAAAATACGGAGAAGACAGAGCATGTCCTGACTGTGGCAGAGCACGACGGCTGACTTAACGTCTCCCCAACCTCTAAGCAAAGCTGCTACGGCAGGCTGTAACATGGAAAGCCACAGGTGCCTCAGACTTCCACAGCTTCGTGACCAACATTTGCTTTACAACTCGTTTTCAAATCATGAAGACATGGCTGTTTCCATGACGAAATGTCAGTCACAGACTGACAAAACATTTTCTGTTTTGGTTGCTTTAGTTGAAGGTGGTAGGTCCCTTCATGTGTAACCAATCCGTGGGATGGCTGTCATTCTATGATCAAATTAGGTCCTGCTTCTCAAAATTAGATATTTCAGAGCTGAAAGTATTAAGGTATCTGGGGCCAAGACTAAGGCTCATGTTTATCATCGCTGTGAATTCAGAAAGTTAGTCTAGCCAGCTAATTTGGCACAACTTATCATCAAGCCGGCTGTCTCTAGGTACCACTTCATAGGGTGCTCTGCACTGACAGGTAAGTTCTGGGGCGCATGAAGTTATATTTGTGACTTCACATGGATTTTAGCATCAATGGAAATAAAATGGAATTAGATAATTGGGTCTGTGGCTCTATGGAACCATATTTTGTATTCTAGAATCAGACCTAAAGTGTTTTAAACAATCTGCTTCATTACATTTTCAAGTTCTGTGACTCCAGGCATGTGACCACAGCTGCCTAGTTAGCGTACAGCGTAGAGACTTCCCTTGTGGCAGTGGTTCTCAACCTTCCTAATGCTGCAACCCTTTAATACAGTTCCTCATGCTGTGGTGACCCCCAACCATACAATTATTTCATTGCTATTTCGTGACTGTAATTTTTGCTGCTGTTATGAATGATAATATAGATATATGATATGCAGGACATCTAATATCCCCCATGAAAGAGTTGATCGCCCCCCTCCCAGGGGTCGTGACCCACAGGTTGAGAACCAGTACCTTAGAGCAAGCACTGATTGACTCAAGGAAGCTGTTGGAGACAGGTGTGGCAGGCAGCTCTCTTGACACAAATTATCCATTCTTTCCAGGGATAACTATAGGACCTAGAGACAGTGAAGCATACAACCAATTATTCTAGATGAAGCAAAATTACCTTCTATCAGAAACTTTGCCCTATTTAAGATTGAGTATAGTGTTACAATGTAAAGATTTTATAGCAGGTTTTTTTTTCTTTTTTTCCACCAACAGCAGTAGCTCAGGAATGTTCATAGTTTATGGTACAAGATGATAAGTTTAATGGGTTTCCTGAGACCTTGGGCTCGCTATGAGAAAAGTCAGTTAAACCAAGGTTCTTCTCCTGCCAGATAGTACATGGCAACTAAACATCTTTTATTTGTTATGTACTCTAAAATATTGAGCTGAGGTAGGGGGCATTTGCTTATCCAAATCCAAGAGTTGATTTGATAAAATGTCAGTAAAATCCGAGGTCAGGAATGTTTTTAATGATGCTGTCTGGAGTTGGAGATACAGAGGGAAGACACAAAAAAGGTTATTTATGCTTACTTTGCATCCTGTGGTGCAACTTGCACTCTTTGGGAGTTGTTATTTGTGCTTTGGGGCTATAGCTGTTTCCCCAGTGGGTAGTCCTGGGCTTCTTTGCCATGAGAAACCCGAATAAATACAAACAATCTATGGGATGCTCTCTTGTAACCAGGAAAGCACTACGGCGTGTACAGCTGTGAAGGCTGCAAAGGCTTCTTCAAAAGAACCATAAGGAAAGACCTCATCTACACCTGTCGGGATAACAAAGATTGCCTCATCGACAAACGCCAACGCAACCGCTGCCAGTACTGTCGTTACCAGAAGTGCCTGGTCATGGGCATGAAGAGGGAAGGTGAGGTGGCCTGCTGCTCCCCTCTACTCAAGGAGAGCAGGTTGCATGCAGAGAGCTATGAAGACAGAAGCATAAGGAAGAACCGGGCTGCTCTGGACTCTGGGAGGGAGAGGTTTGATATGGAGGCTAGGATGAGTCTAGGTGCCACAACTTCTCAGGTCTTTTACCTCCAGAGCTCAGAGGGCCAGAGACATCTTTCCCTCTGTCATCTCTCTTCTCTGAGAGCCCAAGGACAGGTCTCCATTTTCGTTCCAGTAAATGGGCAGTGGGTCTCGGATCTGTTAGAGGCCTTGTTCTCTGTGGCTCCCAAGGAGCATCAGGCTGACCCTCCAGTGGAGGCTTTAGTCTCTTTTGTAAAGAGAAGCTTTTTCCTTGTGAAAAGCCTTCCCGCCAGCCTGGTTCCAGAGCCGCATCAGTCCCAAATAAACACACAGGAAGCTATATTAATTATGAGGCTGTTGGCCTTGCTTGTTTCTTATTGGCTAGCTCTGACTTAAGTAATTACCCCATAATTGTTAATCTAAGTATTTCTCTTACCGGAGAATAGTTCTGGGCTTCCTACCCCATGGCGTTACATCTCGACTCTCTTGTGTTTCTCCTTCCCAGAGTCCTCCTGGACTCCTAATCCCACCTATCTAGATTCCTATTGACCCAACAGTGCTTCATTGACATAAGACTTCCCCAACAAGTCTCACTGCAGGCTTGTTGATGCCATCTAGGATTTATAACCCTGGTGTGCTGTCCCTTCATGTTGGCATATTCGTCAGTCTTTGTGGATTATTGGCATTACTGGCAGACTGGCCTTCTCAGTCCCAGGAGTGTCACTGGGCATTGAAGTGATTTCATCTTTTAATTTATAGTGTGAGTTAGTGGGCTATCCCTGTGTCAGAGAGTAGCAGATTGAAAGTGCCTTGTTGTTGTTCTTGCTTTAAAAGATCGAAAGTCATCCTGCTAAGTAACACAAATAAATTGAAGTGGGCAGTTAATTAACTAGAGGGCTTTGTGCAGATGCCTGGTGTTACTGGGGAATCTTAGTGCTGGTGCAGGAGAGATGTCCTTCCTTTACAGTAGGACGACTCACAGAGTGATTCCTTCAACACCTCTTGTGAAAGAACCAATGAAGGAAAGGTCACTGATCCCATGCGTAGAGGGAATGCCATCAACAAGGGAATATGACAAGAGAAGAGTACCTTTCAGAATCACCCAACCAGCAGGGACCAGCTCACAGATGAGGAAAAGATCCTGGGAGCCAAATGGTGTCCTAAGTTGCCTCCCTGCTTATCTCTCTGTGGCTTTCCTTAGTAGGGACACCAGTGTGAACAAGATGGCCAAGTCAAGCCATTCCCCCACTAAAACATCCAGATCTCACTAAGAGAAAGGGAAAAATTCTTGCTATGGCTTCAAGGATGCACATGGTATAGACACCCCTTTGTCCTACTAGTTCAGCCTATCCTAGTGCCCTAGGAGCAATGTGGAAGGTCTTTAAGTAGGCTCTGGAGGCAGCCAGCCTGGCCCTAGACTAGCACCAGCACGTCCTAACTTTTGACTTCAGACAGGTTATCTAGTTTTTCTGTGGTTTATAGTACCCCAGAGAGTTATCGGAAGGGGTTATATGAGATATAATAATCTAAATAAAGTATTGAGTATGTTATCAGGAGGGGTTAAGCGAGATATAATAATCTATATAAAGTACTGAGTATGAAATATAGCTTCTGATCCGGAAAGTGCTCCATTAATGCCAGCCGCTAGAGAACCTGAAAATACACAGTAACTATTTACTACATGGATGGATGGAGCCTGAAAAACTGGAGTCTGGGACTGTTTTAGATCAGCTAGTGTCCTGGATATATCGTGATATATATTAGAGCAGTTATAACAGTGAGGCTTATAGTACTAATAGGAAGAGGGAATAGCCAATTCTTACTCAATTAATGGCAAATGGGAATTGAACCTATTTTCCTGAAGCCGAGACTTTCTTTGAAGCTTCAGGGTTATTTTCCTTGAGTGTCACAAGTCTGTTAGAAGACGATCATAGAAAGAACTTGACTCAGTTGGTCTCGGTTTTTAAAATTCAGGATAAAGAGAAATGGATTGATTTCTTAAAGATAAATGCAAGAACATTCAAGAAAATCTGACTGAGATAAAAATATGCACTGTAGTTCCCACAGGTTATCACTGAACAAAGACTGACAGCCTGAGCCGAAAAAGAATGAGGAAGGAAAGGAAACACAGAAAGAGGGAGGGGCTTGGTGGGAAGGCTGGGGGAGAGACACAAGCCCATAGGGCAGGAAGACAAAGGGAAAGGGGAAATAAGTATTCCACCCAAACTTTTACAGTTGTTTGGTAATTCCCACAAATCTGTCTCAGTCAATGACTGCAATTCCAGCCCCATGGACAGGGAAACAAGGCTGGGAGGAGCCTGAGTGACAGATCTGGGGACATCTGCATGCACGTGGCTGACATACATTTGAAAAGATTTCTTTAGCTCTGGGGTGTGTGTTCACTCTTCTCTTGCCTTTTTCCATCTCTGTTCTATTTCAGTTTCTTCTTCTCACCTCCTTGTTTTTTATCTCTTCCCTTTCTTTTCTCCTTTCTTCCTATACTCTTTCTGTTTCTCTGGGCCATAATATTGCTACCCGGTAGGGATTATTGGTTCTGGTTTTTAGGCCTCTTCTCTGGCATCAGGAAACCAGTCTCATTCTCCACAAGAGAGACTCCACATGCAGCACTCCAGCTCCATCCCTTCAGACAGCCTCCAGGGCTCATCATATCCTCAGAGGATGAGGGCTCCTTGGCCTATCGGCTGGGAACAGTGAGGGAGAGACCTTGAGGGGAGGCTACTTGGAAGGTGCTTTACCAAGTTAGAATTTGCTCCTTTGTGGGAACAAACTATCTTCTAATATTGAATTCTGCTTATCGCTGCTGGAACTAAACTAGAAACAGCAGCCTTGCAGATGGAAAGGAACCCAACAGAAATTCTTCACCTTGAGAGGGCAATGTGGAGTGTGGGGTCTGCCTTGCACCCCGATGTGTAGACCAAGGGAGAGCTAGAGTGAACTTTGATGAAAATCCCAAGTTTGGGGAATGCAGAAGTAACTCCAGCCTCCACCTTTGCCTGTGTGCCCTCCCCCACCCATGAAATCAGTGCACATTCTGAAATGTCTTCTAGGTGACATCCCTCCACCCCTTCACTTACTAAATCCCCACAGCTGGTTCCCTGAAGATCTTCCCTGACAAGTCGGATCAGGTGATGTTGTGTTCAGGCTGGTGCACAGGGGGCCTACCTAATGGGACGTGAATGCCAAGGCTGATGCATAGGATCTGACAAGGGGAGATTTTGCAGTAATGGGCTTGCTCCTTAACCATTGCAAGCTCACCGCTTATCAGAGCCAGCAGAATAGGAATGATAGTGTACGCAATGGGGTTAGCAAGGAGATGGAAGCTCCGTCAAAGAAGGGTGGAGTTGGACCTTAGTGAAGCTAAAACAGCAAGATCAAGAGGGTCTTTGTAATGCATTGGAAACAATATGACTAAAGGCCCACCTTTGTCCCCACAAGAAAACAGCTTTGCTCTCTTCACCCCATCTGTCAGCATTTCAGTGTTGCTGGTTCAATACCATGATGAGTCCGTGTTATTCAGGAGAAGCTTTTGGTAGGTGACTGTCCCACACTGGTCCTTGGCACTCTGTAACCTCTGTCGGTCTTGCCACATGCCAGCTGTGCAAGAAGAAAGGCAGAGGAGCCGAGAGCGAGCTGAGAGTGAGGCAGAATGTGCCAGTAGTGGCCACGAAGACATGCCTGTGGAGAGGATTCTAGAAGCTGAACTTGCTGTGGAACCAAAGACAGAATCCTACGGTGACATGAACATGGAAAACTCGGTATGCTGTCGGATGTCCACCCAGTTTCCGTTTCCTGACGGGGGTTGGAGGTCAGAGATGTGTATTCCGAGTCCCAGGACCTCATGGGAATTTATTCCTTTTTCAGACAAATGACCCTGTTACCAACATATGCCATGCTGCCGACAAGCAGCTTTTTACCCTTGTTGAGTGGGCCAAACGCATCCCCCACTTCTCAGACCTCACCTTGGAGGACCAGGTCATTCTGCTCCGGGCAGGTAAGACATTGGGGTTCCTCTTGTCCTGAGGCAATTCCCTAGGCTTCTATTTTGAAATGACCCATGGGACCCCAAAAGGAGCAACTCACAATCAATATATTTTTCTTGAACTCATTATGTAAACCAGGCTGGACTCAGAGCTCTGTCTACCTCTGTCTCCCAAGCACTGATTAAAGGTGTGTGCTACTGTGTCTGGCCTTCATTTTATGTCATTTACAGACTTTTACATTTGAATACTCCTCCCGTAGGACTTTCATTCCCAAATGAAACCTCATTCATGGAGGAGTAAGGCTTTTCCCCAATGCAAATGTTTCTGTGGTTTTATAATTTACATTTAATTTCAAAGACTCATAAATAGCTTTATTGAGGATAATTTGAAGCAGTGTCTTACAACTCTAAGACTGGCAAATGGAGATATTCCCACTTCACAGGTGAGGTAAGAAAGCCAGAGATTTGGGGGCCTAGGGAGATAGTATGGTAGGTAAAAGTATGTGCTGTACAAGCATAGGGAACTGAGACAGGATCTCCAGGCTCTAGGCGTTAGAAGTGGCATGGAGATGGGAGGGTTTCGGGGCCTTGCTGTCCAGTCAATCTGCAGGTTCACCGAGGGGCCCTATGTCCTGAGAATGAGGGAACAGTGATAGAGTAGGGATACTAAATGTCTTCCACTGGCTTCCACACCTGCATGCATACATATGCACGGCGCATGTACACACACACACACACACACACACACACACACAGAGAGAGAGAGAGAGAGAGAGAGAGAGAGAGAGAGAGAGAGAGAGAGAGAGAGAGAGAGAGAGAGAGAGAGAGAGAGAGAGAGAGAGATTTCTGCTTAGGCTGTGTTACCTGGGGTACAAGGTTTCCTCCATTTTAAGATTCTTTGTGCTGCAATCCTGTCGCCTGTATTGGAGACACTGCAGTCTGTTGACATCTGCTGTAGCTCCTCTTTGTCACAGAGCCATCAGGGAGATTTCATGAGGACTGGATGAGCATTGGGAACCAGTCCACTCACACATCCTTGTTAGATGATGAGTGATCACTGAGTGTCCCTTGAACGCGACATACTGTGCTGTTACTATAGATGACACCAAAGAAATACAACTAGGTTGTCAGGTCCTGGAACAGAGATTATGAGGTACAGTCACTGGATCCATCATTCAGCTAACAGTGACTGTTGTCTGGTAAAGCTCCAATTCATATTTGTTGTCAACGACGACGACAAAAAGAGTCCCTGTTCTCAGCTGTCATTCTAAACTGCCTCTGAGAAACGGCAGGAGTTTATGCAGAGCCACGAAGTCAGGAAACTCTAGCCCTGTCCTTTCTTTTGTCACTAATTACATGTGTCACCTTGAGCTGTGTCTTAACCTCCCAGGATTTTCATTTCTGCTTTCATTACATGGATAATAATCCATGCATTGCTGACTATCAAGTAGGGATGTGGGTGCTTTTCCCACAAGGTCTCCTCTCTACACTTGCAGGGTGGAATGAATTGCTGATTGCCTCCTTCTCCCACCGCTCGGTATCTGTCCAAGATGGCATCCTGCTGGCTACAGGCCTCCACGTCCACAGGAGCAGCGCTCACAGTGCGGGTGTTGGCTCCATTTTTGACAGGTTGTGATTCCCTTCTGTTTCCAGGGTTTGCACATGGTGTCTGTTTGCACATTGTGTGTACACACACTCCCCTCCTCTCCCTCTGTGTAATGCTGATATGCAATAGGCAGTCCAAACAGGTTTATGTGATGATATCAAAACAATTCCTTTTTATACAGAGACAGCGTCTCATTCTGTAGCTCTGGCTGGGCTCAAGCTTGTGACAATCCTCCTGCCTCAGCCTCCTGAATGCTGGGATTATAGGTGTGAGTCCAGTTTCCAGAGACTATTAAGCATGTGAAAATATAAATCTGGAGACTGAGAGAGGGTTTTTGGCAAAGGTGATTACAATAAAATAGAGCCAGTCAGGGGCCTGCGTCATTGCCTGGCAGATGGAAGGGTCTGCTACCCTCATGCTTTTGACTTAGGTGGACCATGACATCAGCTAGTATGCTGCAGGTGTTGAAGGAGAACAGCATATCACAGGGGCCAGGGATGGAGAAAGGGTCTAGGATGCGTCTTCAAGAGGCCTGGTGTGTTGGGCTAACATTTTTTTTTCTGGGCCCTTTCTGGATGCCCGATCTCTAGGCTACAGCAGAAGCAAGTTCAGTCAGAAAGTGACACCATGACAGAGACTCACTCCCTTAAATGTACTAAAGTGCATTAAAAATAAAGAGTAATATAAATATAATATAAGGTACAATATAAAGTAAACAGTAAATAAATAAAGTAATGAGTAGATTGGTTATTTGGAGATGAAAGAATGGGCTTCTGGTAACAAGAAAGAGAAATCTGAAAATAGCCTGCTGAGTTCCAGGACCTGGCCCCTTTCCTCCACCCCCATAAGTAGTCTCTTTGGGAGGCAGACATGCTCACTTTAGATGAGTCTGCCTCTTCCCCATCCTTTTCCATGATGTGCACTTTCATGGTTCCTGGAGCTACTTGCCCTTTGACCTGTGCTGCCTTCTATGTGCGCAGTGCTCTGGGCTGGCTTTTCCGGCTGCTGTTCTCTTGCCTTCTGTTCCCTGCTGGGAGATCATGCCCCCTGCCGGGTGAGCTCTTGAACTCTGGAGGCAGTAGCTCACTGGGCTTTTCCACACCAGAGTCTTCCTCCACACTGTGCGTTCCTTAGGATGAGGGGCTTCGTTGTCTTCCTCCCTGAACCCAAACACCTTCTGCAGGGTCTGGAACTGAGTAGGCCCATCAAAGTAGTGGTGGAGTTCATCGCTGGTCCTTGGCCCGCAACTCATGCTGCTCTCCTTCCCTGTCCCTGTCCTGTGAACAGAGTCCTCACGGAGCTGGTTTCCAAGATGAAGGACATGCAGATGGATAAGTCAGAGCTCGGGTGCCTGCGGGCCATCGTGCTCTTCAACCCAGGTGACTTCTGCTTCGCTCCAGCCGCTGTCTGGGGTCATCCCTCTTTCAGGGTTACCTCCAGGGCTCTGCTGTTGCTGTCCACCCCTCCCTCATACTCAAGCTTGGCTCAAACAGGGCAACGTGAGCCCAGAACCCATCGGCATATAGAGCCCTGCCCTCTCCAGAGCGGTCCTGAAAGTGTTCTGTGTGTGGAGTTTCATTAGGTGTGTGTGGAGGTGGGGGGGGGGGCAGCTGATTCACTGTGAAAGAGAAGGGGGGGTAAAATGTGGTCAGATTCTGAGTATATCTCTAAGTCACTGGGATCTACTGGTGAAGTAGATGTAGGGTATGGAAGAAAGATAGAAGTCAAATATGTCTCAGGGGTGTTTCATTTCCCAGAACAATTATAGACATGGAATACCAGTTCATTTGACATGGTTAAATCCCCAGGGGAAGCAAGTTCTAAGGGTGAGTGGGTTGGAACCAGGATTTTGTCTTTGGACAATGAGCTTGGAGATGGATAGTAGACATCCAAGAGAATGGATTTCACAGGAGAAGCCGGGACCAAAGATATATAAAGATATATAGGCAAGAGCTGCCTGCCTCCGGCTGAATTGGCAGGCAGCCTCAAACCTGATGAGAGATCAGTTATGAGCAAAGACTGTGGAGAAGAGGCCTGGGAACCGAGAGCCTCACAAGCTGGTGGGAGAAAGAACTGCCAAAGGAGCCTGGTGTGTGGCCAGTGGGAAGGGCGTGGCATCTTGGAGGCCCAGGTGCAAAGCTCCTCAAGAGGAGGAAGTGACCAACTTCATCAAATCTGCTGTGTGTGTCCAGTCTTCTGAAGTGTGATGTGACGTGTGGGCACCTGTTAGCCAGGATTAGGGTTGCTCTGACACAGGACATGTGTAGATTTAGTTTTCATACCCCATCTCACCATGGAACCATGCTCAACGTATAGAAAGCATTCAGTAAGACAGGTCTGGATATAATTAAACCCTCCTTAAATCAGAAGAAGGTTCATTCACTATTAACAGTTGAAAATCTTAAAACTGAGCATTTGTTAGGGAGCGTATACACAGAAAGGTCAGCCATCTGATGCGGGTGATCTGCTTACTTCCAAGTTGTCCCCATGCTTGGATTCCATGTGTCTCTCCTAACGCTGGGGGAGCGGGGAGGCCAGCATGATAGGGACCCTGTCTGGAGGAGTGTTCTACTGAGGCATTAACCAGAAATCAAATCCATTGCTCTCTGCAGATGCCAAGGGTTTGTCCAACCCCTCTGAGGTGGAGACTCTTCGAGAGAAGGTTTATGCTACACTTGAGGCCTATACCAAGCAGAAGTATCCAGAACAACCAGGCAGGTGAGAAAATGATGAGAGAATGGCAATGTTAACAGCAGCGCAGCTCCTCCTCATCCCCATTGACTGAGCTCCTCCCATGCTGCAGGCTTATCCCCATTGACTGAGTGCCTCCTGTGCTGCAGGGGCTCGTAGACCTACTGTGCTTACATCAACACAATAAGATAAATGCTTGGGTGAGGTTAAGGTCTTATCTGTCTAGATCACTTCATCATTCACCTACTAGCATTAGTGCATAAGGCAATGGCTGTAGATGAAACAGCATCTTGCCCTAACAACCTGTGGATTTACTTTGTGCTGTTTGTTACCAGTAGTCAAGCAAAGTTTGAAAACACTAAATGGAAAGTTTCAGAAGTGAATTAATGACTTTTTAGTAATTTTTATTACAATGTATCATTATGATGGCTGTGCTTTTTTACTGTTGTCCATCTCTTACTGTGTTTAATTTGTAAATGTAATTTTTCATTGGTACATATGTATATATATATATATACACATACATACATTTTTCTGCATCTATGTATAGGTTTGGTGGTATCTTCAGTTTCAGGAATGCGCACAGGGCATTGGGACAGATTTCCTCAGATGGAGAAGGGGACTAGTGTACGTATTTTTGAATGTTGAATGAACAAGGAAACGCATAGATTGGTATGGGAGTGTGGTCTACATTCTACCAAGTGACAGACTCGGAAGGGAGTCACTTACTCGAGATCACCAAGCTGGTCACTGGTATAGAGGTGAGATATGAATTCCAGTCTCTGTGAAGTGACAGCATTGCTCTCACAGCCTCTGCCCCACGGTGAGTCTCATGCAGTACAAAGGACAGGCTACAAGAGCTGATGGTCCTAGGCATCTGTCTGTGTGGCCTTGTTACACCTCCCATAGCATTATTACTTGGCCTAAACAAGACTCTTAAAAAGTTTCCTACAAAGTATGGGAAGCAAAGAGTTTTCCCTTTCTGCAAACTGACTACAATGAAAACTGTGATCCTCACATCTCATAGAAAACAAGTGAAACAGGAGACTGTATATAACACATTAGTTCTGTCTTTAGGGTTAATTGTATACCCCCCAACACACACTAGTGAATTATTCCTCTGAGATTTCAGATTTGCATTTATCCCTGATCCTACACTGATGTCTACCAAATGTTCAGCAGAGGAAAAACTGTTTTGTCAGAGGTTGTGAAAAAATCAAGTGGGTGGGTTTCAGCCCTCAGTCAATTAATAATCAGGCTACTGTGTTATTAGATGTTAAGTAGTGACAACTGACTCATCAAAGCCAGTAACTCAGCCCAGTGGAAGTTCTTTCTCATGCCAGAATCTAGGTGGGCACTCAGTACATAGAGGCAGTTCTCTTCCCTGCCAACCCTCAAAGGTCTGGGCTCATCCCACCTTGTGGCTCCCGTATGCCTCAGAGCCCTCTAAATGATGGAGGGGGAGGCAGAGGAACAGAGAGGAGAGGAGCTCTGTGGAGGAGACGTGGATCCTGAGAGGCCCTCTTACTTCTAGTGACTAAAACATTCCTGTGATCTAGCCAGTCATGGAACATCAAGGAAGAGTCAGGGGCACTCTGTGGCCACTTGGTAGCCATTGGAGAGAATCATACGGGCCTGCCCTGAGAGGTTGGTTGAAAGGGCCCTGGCCCTGCCTCTGGCAGTTGCAAGCTCTGGACTAGCCACATTAACAGGAAGCTCTGAGCGAGTGCTCAGTACCAAAGTCTCCAGCCCCCAGATCCTATCAGACCTGCTGGCCTCTTTCGGGATGAACTCTGGCTTCGACTATTAATTATTAAGAACAAAAGCACATCCCAGGTAACCTGACTCTCTTTCCTCCCAAATACAACAACAGTGTCTGCTTTATTAGAAGAAATAGTCATTAGAGTCAGGTAATAAAATTTTATTGTAAATATGTATTTTGGATATGTTTTGTTCTAGTGTCCATGTGATTTCCTGTGTACATACATAGAGATTGTAGTGACAGATGTGAGATTGTGCCTTTTATTGCAATGTTTTCCTCCTTTGATCATCCTTGGGATTTTTTTTATCAGATTATTGAAAGCAAAAAAATCATTTCCCATAGTTTTGTCATAATTTTGCAATGTGCTTATATTTTCAGGTGTTTAGTCATTGCCCTGTGACTGTCATCAAACTTGTTTCTGAATATCACTTAAAAATTTTTTAGAACTGGTGTTTTCCTGGAAGAGACTGCCAAGGATCTGGCTACCTCTAGGCCAGTGATTCTCAACCTTCCTAATGCTGTGACCCTTTAACAACAGTTCTTCATGTGGTGATCGCTACTTCATAACTGTAATTTCACCACTTTTATAAAACATAATGTAAATATCAGATATGCAGGGGTTGCAACCCAGAGGTTGAGAACCATTGTTCTAATTGCTGGAGAGAGAAACCAACTCTCAGCTGGGAGTTCAGGAAAGGAGTAGAGGCTGTGTCCCCCGTGTATCCAGGGCTTTTCCAGCATACCCTGAACAAGGGTTGACATCTGCCTGAGCTCCCAGGAGGTTTGGCAGGTGCATGAGGGGCATCGCGTGGCTCATTAGGCAGGTAACTAGCCTTACTTAGGCTGGTCACCTCTGACTTGCATGCCTGCTCTTCCCAGCAGGGGCTCTTGTCAAAGTGGTGGAGTGCTGCCACTCTGTGGACAGGACTAAGCAGTGCACATCATGGGTCCCAAGGTCTTTGAGAAAGTTGAAAGCAGAAATCAAAGCAGGGTGCAGAACGCACACACGTCTTGCACACACAAAATGCACCTTCAAAGGCTGCCTTGCTGCCAGAAAATCAGACAGGAATGCAGTGACAGTGTCTATTGATGCATGGGTGCCTTCCGTTAGCCCCGGTCTTAGTTCCCAGACTCAGCACCGACAGCATGGCTAGCGACTGGAGAACACTGACAGCAGTATAGGATGCCAGCATCAATCTCAGTCCAGCCCTGCACGTTAAAGGCAAACTCTTTGTCGGGAGAGCTGGGCAGGAGGGAAGCCTCCTCCTTGATGCACTGTCCCTGTGCATCAAGAGCTCTGAAGTTTGTGTTGACAGTGGCATAGATCTTTATTTTCTTCATGTAGAAAGAAGTGGTCTCTGCTTCCCTGATGTTTTCATCTGGTGCCAATTTGTTTTCTTATATTGATTATTTTTATCTTATTTGGGTGTATGTTCATATAGGTGTGTTCTTGTATTCAGATGTGCATGCATGCACATGTAGAGGCCAGAAGTCAATCTCAGATGTCAATATATAGTGTTGGCCATTGTTTTTTTTGTTGTTGTTGTTTGTTTGTTTTTTGAGACAGGGTCATTCACTGGTCTGGAACTCACTGATTATGCTGGGCCAGCTGCCCAGTGAGGCTCAGGGACACTCGGGTCCCCTACTTTTCAAAGCTGTGATTACAAACTCACACCAAAATGTTTGGCATTTTTCTGTGAGTACTGGGTATGGGATTCAGGTCTTCAAGTTTATATGACGAGTGGTTTTCCGACGGAACTATTTCCTCAACCTTGCTGCTGTATTTTTAAATGCCATGTGAAATGAATATAGACGTGTGCACATTTGCAAGGGACAATGAAATTCCAATTCAAAACTTTTCCTTGAAATGAAAATTTCAGGCCACATAGGCAAACCGAAGAACGTTTCAAATCAAGGGGCCAAATGGTCAGACAGTACAGATGCCACACAAACTTCCCATGTCACTTCTTCCCTTCCCTGGTCTCACAGTGACTATCCCCATTACAGAAAGTATGCGCAAATATTAAAGTGTGTGCGAATGAGAGTAAGGAGGTTTGTGCACATATGTATGTGTGACTGTGCATGTATGGCAGCCTGAGTGTGCATATGCAATAATCTGTGTATGCACATGTATGTATGTGTGTGTATGTATGTATGTATGTATGTGTGTGTGTGTGCATGTGTAAGTGAGCATATGCACAAGCCCATGTTGGGATGTCTTTCTTGTTGCTGTGATGAAATGCTCTGGCAAAAATAACGTAGGGGAAAAGGACTTACCTTGGCTTACAGTTCCTGAGTGGCACTGTCTCTCATGATGGAGAAGACATGGTGGTTGGCAGAGAAGCCTAGTGACAGGAGCAGGGGGCAGCTGGTCACACTGTATCTCACTCAGGAAGCAGAGCAAACACGAAATGGGGGTAGGCTGTATGTGCACCGCCCCCATGACTCATTTCATCTAGTGAGGCTCCACATGGAAGTTCCATAACCTTTCCAAACAGCACTTCCAGCTAGGGAACAACAGGCTAAATACATGAGCCTACGGGAGACAGGCATACTCAAACCACAATGGGGGAGGTGGGAGGGGGTATAAGGGTGGTATGCACGTGTGAGACTACGGGACGAGCACGTATGTGGGTCTCGGGTGTCAGGATGTGAGGTCAGTGTGTGCATATTTTCTCCCCAAACAGACTGGCTCCTCAGAGGCTATCTCTCCTCCTCTCTCCTCTCAATCTAGGAGAAGCTCAGAGGGGGAGGCTGGCCATATAAATTATCAGTGCCTGGTTGATTGAAAGCAAAAGCTCGGTTTTGGAAACAGACTGAAGTCACACAGCCTGAAGTGACCAGCTAGACTGTGAGGAAAAGCAGGGTCTCCCCAGAGCAGGGCAGGGTCCATGATCATGCCTGGTACATGGCAGGTCCTCCATGTGTTCATCTAGTGGTGATAGCTGTCCCAGGAATAGCACACATGTGTCACGCCATGTTGCCAGGGCTCACACTAATCTTAGAGGACCCCAAGGAATGCAGGGAAATGGCTAGCAAGGCACACCATGTCAGCCATACAGTTCCATGATTGATGCAGGACTGAGGGCTATTCTGGAACATGTAGAACTCAAGACTGTCCCCATGTTATAGGATCCTGGCTCCTCTGTTCACATGAGCCAGCCCTGTAGCTGGCTTCTGAAGTTCTCAGAAGCTCTTTGGGTTGCAATCCTCCAACTCCTTCATCTCTGCTTCTGGGCTTTTCTATGGCAGCTTGGTGGAAAGCCATCAGACAGCCTTTACCACCACAGCCAGGTGCCTCCCCTGGCCATTCGCTGGTCACACTGTCCCTTGGCTTCTCTGCAGGTTTGCTAAGCTGCTGCTGCGCCTCCCAGCTCTGCGCTCCATCGGCTTGAAGTGCCTGGAGCATCTCTTCTTCTTCAAGCTCATCGGGGACACGCCCATTGACACCTTCCTCATGGAGATGTTGGAGACCCCACTGCAGATCACATGAACATCCTCAGCTGCAGCTTCCCCACCTGGGTGACTGACCCCTAGGCTGATGTGTGTGGAGCCCTACCCTGCACACTGTCCCCCGCCTCCCACTCTGACCTCCCTTCCTGTCCCCAAAATGTGATGCTTGTAATAAAGACAAACTTTCTACACATGCAAGTTTTCTAGGTGGAGTTTTGTATGGATGTTAAAGGTGACCTTTCTTCGCTATTTAAGGGGCTGAGGTTTTTCTGGAAGTTCTTGGGAAGAGCAACCAAGCCTCTGTACATATGATTGGTTTAAATTATTTTTTCACTTGCCATGGAAAGCAAACAAATGGAACAGAAATTAATAAATATGATATTGGCACTGCTTGGAGTGTGTGGTGTGTTATTGTGCAGCTGGGAAGTTCTCTGGGCTGTGGAGAATGGGGACCTGGATGTAGGTTAGGTTAGGACTGGCTCTGTGGTCCAGGGCTGGGGTTAGGAGCTGAGTTGGGCGGGAGACACAGCTGTAGTTGCTGCTGGGAAGAAGGAGAAGGCATCCTTTAGAGACAGACAGCTTGGCTCTCCTCTTCCCTCTCTTTCTCCTCCTTCTTTTCCTCCTCCTTCTCTTGTAACTCCTCTCAAGCCTGTAGTCACAGATGTGGAAAAGGAAATGGAGACTATCTGGGGAGGAGTGCTAAGGTTTTACTGGGGGGGAGGGCAAGCTGAGTGAGAGAGCACAAAGACTCACTCAGTCACTGCCTGCCTATATAAGAGAAGGTCAGGGCTTGAGCTTCTTGGCTAGCTACCCATTAAGCACAGACCCGTGAACAGAGCAGACAGAGAGGTGTTGGACTATTATAAGCATAGAGACAGATGCCTTTCTTGAAGCCTCTAAAGACAGGGCTCCATCTTGAATTTGCCCTTGGGGTTAGGAAAGAGGGAAGCATTGCACGTCAGCCGTCTATGTTGAGCAACTATTTTCTAACCTCTGTGTGATAGAGGTCTTTGGGTGATTTCTGAACAAGTTAGCACCTGCTCATGCACTTAAACCTGTTTCTTGCCATCCCTTTTGTGATTGATGGTCAGTGTGAACTGCCAACTTGACACATCTAGAATCCCCTGGGAAGAGTCTCCGTAGCAATTGTCTGAATCGGGTTATCTGCGGGGAGATTGTCTTGATTATGTTAACTGATGTGGGAAGACCCAGCCAACTGTGGGTGGTGCCCTTCCATGGGGCTGGGTCCCGAAGTGTGGGAGTAGAGGTGAGCCGAGGATTAGACATACATGCTTTTATCCCCTCTGGTCGTGACTGCCATGTGACTGGCTGCCTCAAGTTCCTATTGTGACTTCCCCAGAGTGATGGACTGCTACCTAAGTTGTAGCCAAATAAACCTTTCTCCTTAAAGTTGCTCTCCTCAGAGCATTTTACCACCACAGCCGGAAATGAATGTAGGTCACTTCCTCAAACACTCAATTCTCCAGTGGACGGAGGAAAGGAAGGCCCGAAAGAGAAACCATGGTGATGAGAGTGGAGAAAGATGAGTAGAATGGACCTAACTTTGGATGAGACCGGAACTATTTTGAGCATCACCCTAGGTACTGTCAACAGGCCAGGCAAAGGAGCATAATAGAGCTTGTCTGAAGAGTGAAGTAGGAAAAAAATCTTTTCCAATTCAGTCTTTGTGTAGGAGGCACAATATACAGAAAGAACTAGAAAAAACAGAATTGTTAGACTGTGCAGGTTTTTTCTCCTTCAAGGGAAGAAAATGGCTAATGCCTGTTCACTCTGAAACTTGGAGTGGATGTTGTCTAACAACCTGGTGATCCTTTGCTATTCCATGGAGCCAGCATCCCCCCCCCCCAGCATTGCTTAGGTCCTAATCCTGAGCTTTCCCCTAATGAATAGAACCCATCACAAACGGAGCAGTCCCATTGCCAGGCCAGAACTTTTCAGGGGCATGGTGGGCAGTGACTGAATACACTCAGGCAGGTTCTTTGCCATAAAGGAATTCATGCACGGAGCAGGCAGAAAACAGTCAGATCAAAGATAATAACAAGTTACGTATCTAGGGTTGAAATGATAGGAGATGGCTTGGCAGATAAGGTGCTGGTTGCTCAAATACAAAGACCTGATTTTAGTTGTCTAGCACCTACACAGAAGCCTGGCTCGCCAGGTGCATCTGAACCCCGGCATGGTGAGGGGTATACAGGTGACTGTGAGGAGCAGACAAAGTCCTGACTGGATGTGTATCGTTGTCATGAGCTCAGTCCTGTCAAGAACCCCAATATCTCAGACACGTGGGAACTGGCAAAGTCCTCCCCATGTCAGGCTCAGGGAGCTGGCCAAGCCTTCTCTGGTTCCAATGTAAATGTTGACAATGTGTGTGGAAATGGTCTCCAGGATGAATGCAGCCTGAGACTTTTCCCCTAGTGACTTCCTACCAAGATTAGCTAAACCTGCCTCCTCATTCAGCTGGGTACCAAGAACCCAACCTTTTTATTCAGCTGTATACAAACCAGCTTCTTGATTCAGATGTATAAAATAAACATGTTGAGTTTCTGGGGTGCTGCTGTTACTGTTTCTCTGTCAGAGCAAGCACAGCCCACCAAATCCCAGCTTTTCTATATGTGTGCCTGTGAGTCTGTCCATTCTTCGTCCTCTCATAGCCCTAGTTAGAGATCCCTGAGGTGTGGCGGAGTGTGACCGTGGATCCCTGAGGTGTGGCGGAGTATGACAGTGGATCCCTGAGGTGTGGCCGAGTGCGACTGTGGATCCCAGACACTCACAGGCCAGTCAGCACAGACCAGGTTCAATAAGAGACCCTTTCTTATGGGGCAGGGACAAGGGGCAATGAGAGAAACACACACACACACACACACACACACACACCTAAAAGGAAGAATGATTTGTCTATAGCACTTAAATTTACAACACCCACAAAAACCTGGGATTATAATCTGGCCTTGGAGATGAAGGCAAAGAACCATGATTATATAGGTTTTTTTAAAAAAAACTTTGAAATTTAAAATGTTAAAAATATACATGTACTTTTGAGACATCTATTTATTCTAAATATGAAGAAACAAAGATTCCTGAGGTCAGTGTTGGTCCTCAGTGTGAGGGGCGTGGACTCAGGGCGAGGGGTGTGGTTACAACCACTGTAGCCGCTGATCTTCAAGACCTCTATTCTATGATGGAGAAGGCTCTGCAGATTGAGGTACTAGCAGATGCAAGGAGTACATACAACATGAAAATAAATGTGGAACTTGGACAATCAAACAGTTAGCCAACGAAAGTAAGAACTTCAGCTCAGGGGCATTTTCTTTGGTTAGATATCTTTTAGACTTTAAAGCCAGTTTAGAGGCCACCTAAGAAAAGTGACTGCACGATACTATACTACAAACTCATCGTATAACCACAATAACCCACGTGACCCAGATTCTCGTAGCATCTCCATCTACCCAGCAGAACCCTGCTGGCTCTTTCATATCCTAGCTTTCTTCCTACAACATTTAATGCATTTGGGGTTGAGTCGGACTTGACAGTTTCCAAGCATCAAATCTTTTCTTTGCGTGATCATGCTCCTACCACTGTGCTTCTAACAGCCGGCTCGGCTCTGGAGGGTCCTCCCTGAAACCGACCTGAAGTTTTAGTTATGTCCTTCCACTTGGAGAAAGAGTGGGGCCTGTTATAGGATTAATTTAGGGCGTCGCCAGGAGGGGCTAAGTGGGGAGAGGAAGGGAGGCTTAAATTCTTCCCCTTTCCTCACAGCGCCCAGAAAAGCGGATGGAAAGAGCCTCAGCCAGCTTGTGAAGAGACCTTGACCCCCCACCCCCACCCCGAACACTTCCAGCCAGGGGAGAGCCGCTTTCACTCTCCTGGAAAACTCCATGGAAATGTCTTCCGTGGCAGTTTCGGAGCACACAGCCGTCTCTGACCACAGACCACAGAGGAACTGGCCCTGGGCCCGGAGTCCCCACCGGGGAAACTTCTTGGGTTGTGCAGCTGCAGCGCGGCCAGGATCTCGCCCACCCCAGCTGGATGCTGCGGCTTGGAGACGGTTAGACACGGGCTCCCTCTGCTGCTAATTCGCGGTAATAGTCGCGCCTGTCTGGGAAAGCATCTTCCAGAGTCTGGGAGAGCCTCCAACCCTGGCCAGAAGCTCCTGAAACCTGGGTCATTCAGTGGAATATTTGTTTCAGACTCTGCAGAAATGGGCCCCGAAGAGGAGTCAAGGCGAGAGAATGGAGACGACCACGGAGGGAGTGCAGGTTGGAGAGAGTGAACCCTTCCTCTGCAGCTGAAGAAGGCACAGACTTTACCTGCCCACCTACCAGTGGGGCATCCGGTTTTCCTTTGCCCCCATACCCCTTTGGCCAAAGCCATGAGAGCATAAAAGTGCCAGGACCAGCACTTCCCACATCTGAGGAGCCAGATGAAGAAATTCCAGAGTCATTTACATCACACTTAACACCTGGCAGAGATCAGAGTTCTGGTGGGAAGGGCAGAGGGCAGAAGGAAGGGTGGAGGGTCCTCTGCGGGTAATGTGGAAGCCTATTATGGCATCTTGAACAGTTCCTGGATGTCACAAGGCTTTAGAATCCTGTGTTGCGTGATAGAAGATTCTGGTCAAATCGCCTCTAAAACCTCTTTAATCTTAGTGAATCAGTAATGTCTACTAGAGTTCGTGTCCCTTGACCTCACGTGGAAGCAAGGGACCACACCCAGCCCTGGGACAATGACTGGTTCTGGAGAAAGCAGAAAGATTTCTTAGCACAGAATCTGAAGGGTAAAACACACAGATTAAACAAGATTATTTAACATATTATGGGTCCGGTGCTTTTAACCGGCACAGCTGTAAAGGGGCTGCCTAGAGCTAGGGAGAAGATCCAATCAGTAAAATGAGTTTGATTCCCCAGAACCCAAGTAAAAGCAAAATCAGGATGTGGTGGTCTGCATTTATAATCCCAGCACTGAGCAAGCTGAGGCAGATCCTGGAGAGTCACTGGCCAGAGCCTTCAGGCCTCCATATGCATGACAGTGCGGGCTAACCCCAGGAGAACAGAACTGAATTCATCCTTCTAGTTCACTGGTTCCCAACCAGTGGGTCACAACCCCTTTTTGGGGTTGAATATCAGATATCCTGCATATCAGATATTTACGTTATGATTCATAACAGCAGCAAATTGCAGTCATGAAGGAACAATGAAATAGTTGTATGGTTGGGGCCACACATCACGAGGAATTGCATGAGAGGGCTGCAGCAGTAGGAGGGTTGAGAACCACTGCTAATGGCACAGAACACTCAGAGCACCTCTTCTCTCTCCTCCTTCCCTGCTGTTTCATGTTTAAATCTCCTTAAGTATTCGTTTCCTTCTTTATTTC